TGGTCATTCATGCCCCTTTGGCTGCAGAGACATGCCAAGACACTATTTCGATTGGAGCCCCGAAGCAGTTTCGGCTGGAGATGGGATGCAAGGACGCCTCCATTGTGATGATTTTTGCGACAGTTGGCTACGCGGCGCCCCGGATTGCCTCTGGCACGCGGCACCAAGGATCACAGACGATTAGAGCGAGCGACGTACAGAGAGAGCAGCGAGAGCAGAGAGAGAGCAGAGAGAGAGCAGAGAGAGAGAGAGAGGGCAGAGGTCGCGCACTCGACGAAGTTGAGGCCGCGTACTCACAGCAGCGCTTGCTGTGCGTGCCCCACGCAGTGGAAGAATGGGCCCCGGGCCCGCCCAGCCCGCAGAGCGGCGCGCTTCTCGCGGCTGGGCTCCTGGGCCGGCGACGGCAATGCTCACATGCGCTGCGATTGGGATGATGGTTTTCCTTTTTGGATTTGGATGATGGTTTTCCTTTTGGGTTCCACTTGAACACAAAAAGAGGGGTACCCTCAAAAATGATCGACCGAATTAATTGGCGCTGGGACCTCAGGAGTTGCCAACTCTGAGGCTTTATGGCGCAAACATCGCCTACAACGTGGTCAACAAGCGCTTGTTGCTAGCACACCCGCATCCTTGCCTGGTGCGCCCAAATGGTCCAAGCGTCTATTTTCCCGGTCACACCAACACGAAAACGGAGAGCGAACACCGCACAGGTGACGGGCATGAACCTCTTTTCCTCCGCGGGGTGCTGCGTGCTTTGCTGGGGCTTGGGCCTAATGCGCTGGCCGGGACGCCTGGAATCCTCGGTCTATCTGCCACTTGGCGTTGGGGCGTTGGGTTGGGTCTGGCGCCCTTTGGAACATTGAACCCTCAAAGAACCCGTGAAGCACCTGAACCTTGTGGGAACCCTTTGGTGGCATATTGCAAGCGTATGGAGCCGATGATTGGCCCGATCGATGCACTAATTCCTCCAACCTCTTGTAACAGATTCGACCTCAGGGAAGGCATGCCCGGGCATGCCTAGGAGATGCTTCCAAGATTGCCCTTCATTGACGTTCGGAGTTCGGAGCCCACCCTTTGCACATTTGGAGTTTTTTGCGTGACGTGTTTGCCGCAAACAAGCGCTATTGTCACACGGTGGCTGCTGCCCGTTCAACAAACACTTCAGGGAGTGCCAATAAAGTGAAGTGAAGGCCCCTGCCTGGAATCACCCTAGGGGTTAAGTGCAACGAAAAAAACTCGGGACAATGATGCTGCTGAGGAGGCTGCTGGGGCTGGCGGTGTTCCACTGGGGTGGGATGCTGTTCTCCAACATCTCCGTAGCGGAGGTGCACATCTCCTTCACCCACACTGTGAAGGCTTCGGTGCTCGGGTGGCGCCTGGTTGCGCCTGTTGCTTTCTGCTTAGCAAATCGTTCTTGGCTGCGAAATGTCCAGGCAGCGTCAACCGACATTTGATGCAGAATAAAAACGCACAGCGTTTCTCCCCCTGGCAAGGCTGCGGAGCCGTTCTTCACCGCCTTGTTCACCGTAGCTCTCCTTGGCAAGAAGCCGACCATCCGCCACTACCCAAGTAATTAGCACATTTGGATGCTCAAAGTTGACTCCTCTCGCCTGAGGCGCTTGGCTCAGCTTGTTGCTGGTTATTGCTGGCATTGTTGTCGCCTCTACGGCTGAAACTTCGTTGGAGCCTAAGATGGTCTAAGTGTGTCTGAGTTGCTTTCAGAGTTTGGGGCATTTCCGGGGCTGGAGTTACGCAGTTAAGGTTCACTTGGGTCGGCTTTTGGGCCGCCATGGCCTCCAACGTCATGGTGTCGTTGAGGCCCGGCTTGCGGTTTTCGCCGTTTGCCACCGCCAGCCGGGCACCAAAGGGTTGTAACATTTACTTCCAGGACGGTGCTGTCCAAGAGATTGATTGAAAGCCACATCCTGGACCCGCTGAATTTCCAAGCATTGCTGCAGTGCGGAGCAGCTCTGGCAGCTTGGCAAGGCGAATGCTGATTCCATGGATTGCGGATGCGGCTCATGGCTGAGGTTTCGGTGCCAGTGGCTTTGTGCTTCAACCTGCAGCTTGGACCTTGTGGAACCTTGTGGAACCCGGCTTGTTAAAGAAAGTGAACAAGGTTGGACGGCAACCCCCAGAGCCAACCGAGTGACGTTTGTGCAACCGACGCAAGCTGGCCGTCCTCACCCTTAGGCATGCAGTGAAGGAGATTGCTTTGGACCCTTCGGCAGTTTCATCGGCGATTATGATTGGGCCACTTGCACCTCGGCATGGGCCGTGCGTTGACCTTTATTTCGTCACTTTGGGCTGGTGATTGCCATTGTCTTCGGCACAGGCAGTTGGCTAAGCACGACTTGAAGAGTGCCACTCGGAAATCATTGCTTCCAAGGTGTGGATCTTCAACGTTGCCTCGATCGTGGTGCTTGTTCACAGCTCCCCGGTGGTGCATGCCATGATCCGGTCCATGCGGAGGCCCCTCCTGGTGCTGGCGTCCATCATCACGCTGCTGGGCCGTGGCTGCGACGGGTTTTTTGTTGCTGAAGGTTCAAGAAGGGCCTTGGGTTGGATTCAGCCACCAGCTCGGGATATGATCTCTCAAGCCCCAGAAATCTCACACCTTGCGCAAACTGAGCCCTTCATTTGGGTTTGCCGGCGCGGCAATGGGCCGCTTCGATTTCGGCTCGTGTCTCAATGGCCCCCACTGTCCCAAGCCAAGGTTTGGCACATGCCTCACCTGGCTGAATGCGATGGGCATTGCCGTGACCATCCTGGGGGCCTTGTGGTTCCGCTACGAGAATGAGGTGAAGCTGGAGAGAAAGCCATCGACTGGAAACCTCAAGCGGCTGCATGCCAACGCCAGGCATCGAGCGATACCGTAGTCGATCCTTTTGTAGGAGCCAGTTGGGCTCGTTAATTCACTCGCGTGATTTTGCAATGCACACCACCCCTGGGTGAGACGTAGCCGGATGCTTCGCATTGACTAGTTTCACTCGAGGCTTCGGAACCGAAAGGAGTTGGCAGTTTGCCATGGACCTGCCCCTTCGCGGCAAAGGGTGTTCGAAAGGGCGCGTATATTTGCTCTCTCCTCGGCAGAACCGCCATGAGCCGAGAGAATAGTTCTGGGGTCATGCAGAAGGAACAGCACTGCGCCCTTCCATCTTGAAGGCACGTGGAAGAAAAACGGTTTTGCGCTGCCGTTCGGAATCTAAAGTGGGCTCCATCAACTCTTTTATTGCACTTCTGGCATTGGCAGGTTCAGGTGTGCTCAAGTCTGACCGGCTAGAGGGGGCAGTTTTGTCCATGGCAAACGCGGTCCACTGCAACTCCTTGCAAAGCTGCCAAGTTCCATCTATTTCCATTGCAACTAACTAACTTCCAGTACCCACATGGAAGCTTGACTGGAGCATGCTATGGTGGCCTTTGCACGTTACTTGGCTCTCACGAGCCCTGGCCCTGACTCCGGGCATCAGCCCGGCTGAAGAGACGCGCTACAAGGGCACCCACTTTGTATGCGTGGAAGGGCCGCTCGGCAATAAGCCGAGTTTGCCACGCTGCGCGGAACGCTTCTCGAGTTGGTCACGTGAGGTCGGCCACGCTGCCAGCCTCCGCGGTCAACGATGACTTCTGCGACTGCGAAGATGGCAGCGACGAGCCTGGCACGGCGGCATGCGCTGGAGCCACCGACCGGTGCAGCGGCTTAGTGTGAGGCAACTGGCATTTCACATTGGCCAACACATAGGCCACTTCTTGCGGCATGAGCAGAAGCTGTGAGGTGGTTTTACTGCCCCAATAGCGGGGGCACTGCGCGGTACATCTATATCTCGCGATGCTCGGCGGCACGTTGGAATGCAAGGGGGGTGCGGCCCATGTCATTTTGTGTTATTCCTTTGTCACTTTGACATGCTTACTTTAGGCTGTAAGTTGGGCTGTACGGTTCAAGAGAAGGAAGCACCGTACTTGAGCCTGTTTTTGGATTTGGTCTTCTTTCGGATGCTCCCAAGGCGTGGGGGATGGCATTTGTGACTGTTGCGATGGTTCGGATGAGTGGCTGCGGCCGGACAGCGGCTGCCGGGATGTGTGCAAAGAGCAGGGCCGCGCTCGGAAGGCGCGGAGGGGAAGGTTGGAAGTGGCGAACGGGCCAGTGCCAGGCAAGCAAAATGGATGGAGGCAAACTAATTGTGGCAGTTTGCGACTTTGAGTTGATCCGTTCATGAATGCTGTTTCTGTGTGAGGTGCGTTTGGAACAAAGACGCGCTGAAATGCAAAAAGGCATTTTGATGAGGGAAGCGGCGCTGGAATCGATGAGGGCCGAGGCCGGGGCTCACGGGCCCGCTGGGCGTTGCTTGCGGGCTGAGAATGAGGTTGAGGAGTGGCGGAAGACGGTGGCAGAACTGGACGCGAATGCAGCGCCGCTGTCTAAAGAGATGCTGGAATTGGAGGAGGTTCAGCGCCAGAAGCGGGCTGCGGTGATCAAGGAGGCCATCACGACCATGTTGTGCCGTCCTGCCTGCGGTGTTTCGTGTGGTGCGCACAGTGGGGCACAGCATGGCAAAGCATTCCAGGTCAGGATGCCAGGAGGGTGACTCTTGTGACTCTTGTGGCCATGGCCTCACAAGGCCGAGCAGCTGGGCAGGGAAGCCGACTTGGTCGGTCAGGCGCGAGGCTCATTTCGTTGCGCTTCAGGTGAAGTTGATAAGTAGGAGCTTGCATGCCATCAAGTCACCAAGCTCTGGAGGGCGCGGAGAAGAAAGTCTCCGAGTATGCCAAGTGGATGGAAGGCTGCGGCATGCCAGTTTGCCCCAGTGGAGGTCATTCGACTCTTCCATGCTTGAGCCAGAGCCAGTGCAGGGGGAGGAAGCGGGAACACAGCGGAGCAGGCAGAGCAGGTGCGGCACGGGGCGTATGCAAGCCTCCAAGATCGTGGGTTTGTGGCTGACTGCCAGGTGTGCAGTGGTTCCGTGTGCATCCAGCGCACTGCTGTGTCACGGAAAGAGTTGAGGCAGATCAAGGTGACTAGCACCTCAGCTGCTCTGACATGCCGCGGGCAATATGGGCAGTATGCACAATGAAGCGCAGCATGAACTCAGGTGGCGCACTGGTTGACTTCATGGAATTTGTGTATGCCACAGGGAGCCTCGTAGTGGGCGAGGGCAAGGGCGACCAGCAGGAGCCCTTTAATTTGGAACCTGGAGAGGCTGGCATTGCAAGCGTCGTTTTGTGACATGGCGCGGGTATGGTTGGAATTCGGGAATTCGGCGGCAATTTGAGGTGCTGCTGGAGCTTCGCGGCGGCCAAGGGGGCCTCCTGGACCGCGTGCAGTTCGTGACGAGCCGCGGCCGTGAGTCCAAAGCCTACGGCGGAGCTGGCGGCCAGAACTTTTCCTTCAAGGCCTCGTGGGAATTTTCCGTTGGACGGCGAATGTCAGAGAATTGGCTTGAGCTTGGCAGGCGAGCGAGGGCAAGATGATTGTGGGCGTGACCAGAGCGGCAACATGACCAATTTAGACTTGGGCCTTTCAGCCGGCCGATGATGTAAGGGGATGATCTGAGGTGGGCTTGGCTGGGAAGCTCACCGGCATCCAGGAGTGTCTCTTCCGACCTCTCACTGATGCAGAGAAGGCGTTTGACGAGGCTTCCTCGATTCTGGAGGAGGGTTGTCGCGTTTGTTTCTTGTGGCTGGCAGTAGCTTGGCCCATGGCGGCCCACCCGCTACGCGAATTTGATAAGAATTTCCCAGGATGCTCGGCGGCAGCTTGCCGCGAAGCACAAGGAGACGGCGGAACTGAGAGAGAAGATCGAGGCGGCAGCAGGCGCCCACGCGGCATATCGGGCACTCAACAAATGCGGCGAGACGCAAATCGGTGAGTACAGCTACAAGATTTGCCCCTTTGGCGAAGCCACGCAAGGACATGCGCCAAGGCTCAAATTGTTCAGACTCTTTCTGGTGTGCTAGAAAGTGCCGGACCTTGTTGGTTTTGCGGAGATTCCAACATCGAGCAAGCGTATCGCATTTGTTGCCTCAGGTGCGGCTGGGGAAATGGAAAGGATGGGCAAGCGATGCTTCGCATACCGCTTTGTTTGAGGGTGGCGAGCGGTGCTTCTCTGGCATCGTCCGCACGCTTCGCGTTCAGTTTGAATGTGGGGAGGGCTACGTCATTGAATCGGTGGCTTGGCGCATGTTGCATAGCAGGCACGGCAGAGCTTGAGTTGCCGGCTTGCTTCGTCAACTTCAAAGTGCCGTACACTGCGAAGGTGAGAGAGCCCAGCCAATGCGTCTACGAAGCGACCATGACCCACCCTGCTGCGTGCGATGCCCAAGTTCTGACGCAGGGTGACAGGGTCCTGACACCGCACGAAGCTCACCTGGAGTTGTAGCAGTTGGAAACGTTGTAGCAGGTTGCGGCTAGCCAACGCAGCCAGGAAAGCTGGTTGGGCCACGGCCCAGGCAACGCCATGCCCCAAAGTTGGGTTGAGTTTCACCGACTCTAGAGGCAAAGGGCGGCCAAGTGTCACGCATCACAGTCAGGTGTTGGCTTTGCTCGGGAAGTGCGTGCTTTTTCGGCTTCAGACTGCCGTTATGACAACACCACGTAGCTTCCGACGTCACATGGCGCGAGGGCGCATGCAACCACGCGACGCAAGAGCTTAGAACTCTCCAGCGGCCTTGCCATGGCCTCGCTGAGAGGCAGGGCGCCGGTCTGATGGTCTCCGAATGGCAGGATGGCACAAAGATTCTGTGAGAATCGTCCGAAGCCCATCAGCGCCGCCAGCGTCCAGATTCCAGTGGCCGCAATGCAGCAACATGGCCGCCGGGGTGTTCCCAGCGCCCACGGTCACCTGGGCCCCGGGCCCAGTCGGCCCAGTCGGCCCAGTCGTCCCGATACTTCCCCTGCAGCTGGCCCAAAGCAATGGCCACGACGTGTCAGAGCTCTCCAGCAGCCTGGCAAGCTTACCTCGGCCAAGCAGGAGGGCAAGTTGGCCAAAGCCCTGCAAATCTGACCGACTTTTCAGCGTAACGCCCAAACATGTATGCTTTCAGGCAATGGGGATTTGGATGAAGGAGTCAGATTGTCATGTCATCATTCAACTCCGTTTGGCAGGCTTGATGTTGCGCCGGAAACGCGGCCTGCACGCAGCCTGCTGCCTCCACCAAGCCGGGCAGCTTGGCCGCAAGGAGCTTCGTGGAAATCGGAACAGCAGAGTGAGGCAAATGCCGGGGTAACAACCATCCTGCAAGCCTGACATACCCAACAAAGGGTCAGGCTACCAATGTGTCCAGCTGGCTACACTGGACAATTAAACCTTGAACAGACACCGGGGCCTGAACCAAAGCCGCGCGCAATGATATGCTAGTTTCGACTTGAGCTCATTTCAAAGACGACGCTTCTACCATCGCACCGAGTCAAAGCTGTCGAGAGAGCAAGCTTGCATATCAATGACATATTTGCCGGCAGAGCATACTTGGTGGGCGATTGTTCTTTTCCGAATTAGAACACCATGAGGCTTTGGTGCATCGCAGCTTTGAGTTGCTAAGCTTTGCAGTTAGTCAGCCATTTGCTTAGTTCAGCTAGTCTTGTTAGTCATTCTAGTTGCCTATTCTGTCGAGTTAGCAAGTTGGGTGTGGTGCTGGGTTGCTGCTCATTAGCTGATGTGTGGACAAATGTGGGCAGACAGTTTGGGCTCAGTTGCTACCTAGCTAGTTAGTTACCTGAGAAGCTGGCGCTCTAGCCGGCTAGCTTCGCTTGACAGTTGTTTACTCCGTTAGCCAAGGAATGCCGCATGAGCAGAAAATTTCTGAATGAATTGTCTAGTTGGAAGTCCGCGGCAGGTTGTGTGAACCCTCTAAAGTATGTGGAGCCCTCTCAAAGTGCTTTCCGCTACGATGGTCGTGCAAGTCACGTTGCAGAGCTTGAAGGGAAAGCAGCCTCGGGCCGAGTCCGTGTCGCGACGTTTCGTGTAGCTCTGACCCAAGGGCTGCGGCGCAGTTGGCGCAGCATGGCCGCTGCAGGCGAATGGCCAAAGATTGGAGTCCTTCAAACCGGCAAGATCGGAGGCTTCTTCTGCCACGCTAGCCCAGTCCCAGGGAGATCCTGAGCGATACTTGAGACAGATTCAAGCAGTGGGCAAGGTGCATCAGCAGCAGCTGGAGATTCTGCAGAGGCACCTGGCCTTAATGCAGAAAGTTTGCGCGGGGCAAGCACAGCCCTCCTTCACAAGAGAGTTCGAGCTTTTGAAACAGCGGCAGCTGCAGCTGCTCAAAGATGTCGAAGGCCAGCTGCGAGAGATCTCTGAGGCGACCTTTGCCGCAGAAGTGCCATCTCCAGCGCCATCCCCCGTGCCACGAGTGCGTCCAATACATCCGGCACCAGTGCCATCGCCAGTGCGGTCAGCGCGGCATCCGAAGCCGGGTCCATCGGCGCCCCCGTTGCCATCAGACTTCCGGGTGCTCGTTGGCAATGCTACCGGGCTGTTGGGCCGGGAGGTGATGCGCGTACTGGGAGGACTGGGGCAGGTGAGTCCGTGGCAGGGGGGCCTGCAGCAGCTCCAGGACTTCCGGCCCCAAGCTGTGCTGCTGCTGGAGGCAGAGGCGGCTCTGGAGGCGTGTGAGGCTTTGGAGGCGAACGATGGCCATGGGCCTAACGAGCCTAACGGGCCCAATGGGCCTGGGCCTGGGCCCAACGGGCCTGGTGGGCCTGGGCCCAACAGGCCTGGTGGGCCTGGACCCAACGGGTCTGGGCCCTGGGTGGTGGCGGTGAGCTCTGCGACGGTCTTCGATGGGCTGCAGGCGCCATATGGGGTGGACGCGGAGCCGAGGCCGGTGACGCAGCTAGGACTGCAGTGCCTCGACCTGGAGCAGCGCGTGCTGAACCTCCGCCGCTCCGCAGTCCTGCGGGTACCCTCCCTCTACGGCCCGGTGCATGCGCTCGGCGAGTCACCAATCACTCGCAGCTCGGCCAGAGTTGTCTCAACACTCCCCTTGCAACCCTTGCTTCGTGCCGGTCAAATGAACGCTTGTCACTTGCGCGTGCCCAATTTGAGTGCGTGCCCATTTGCCCGCACGCAGCCTGCACCATGATGTTTGCGTAGTGTTTTCGCAGGGCCGCTGCATGGAATTTAAAGGAGGCAAGCATAAGAAGTCAGTGTTGGTGGGAGCGACGTCCACTTCTGCGGCGAGATGAGGATAAGTCACATACTTGTGTTTGTTGTCTTGGTCCTTTTCAGTTGCCTTCGCGAGCAGTGCTGGACAAATCAACGGGCATTGGTGTTTGATATGATGTATCATGGATTGATATGGTGCAGGCGTGGGAAAGCAGCACTAGAGTGGAGCCTTTGTTTTTTGCATCCTGGCAGTTTGGTTAACCCACTGTTGCAGGGTGTCACGTGTCGCTCGTGGGGTGGCGCCCGCTTTATGGTGCTGCCGCTCGCGATTCCTCAAGCAGTGAAGAGCAAACCCCCACCAGAATGATTAGCTGGTTGCCAGTGCACAGTGTACATTTGCGCCAGGTCACGTTCGATTTCAGGGTTCTCGTTTTTCTCGTTTTTTCTTCTTGGGACAGCTGCATGTAGCCTTCTGATTTTTGTGCAGCTCAACTCCCTCAGGTTTGCTTGAGGACCTGCAGCACGGACGGCGGGAGTTTGACGATGGTCAGCCGTGGTATCCCACCTGGGCCGGCGACGTCGCCTCGGTGCTGCGCTTCTTGCTGCAGAGTCTCGTGGCGGGGGATTTGCGCGGAATTTACCATTGGCAGGGCCCAGATCGCTTGACCGAGTTCCAGATGGCCAAGCAGCTGGCCGAGGTCGCGAGCTTGAAGCTCCCGATCCTGCCGCGCCAGCCCAAATGCCTCCGTGACCGGAGCCTGGACTGCTCCAGGCTGGCGCGCTCCTTCACCATGTCCACCCCCTTCGCCGAGGGGGTGAAGAGCTTGAGGCTGACGCCGCCGACACCTCCAGGTTCCCTGCAGTGGGCCAGGTCTGAACAGCACGTGTGAGCGGCTCCGGAGAAATAGGTCAACTTTCGGGCTGGGCATGGAACCACGAGCAAGTGAGTGGCTTATTTCATAGCCATTGAGGGCTTCAGGGCTTAGGGATTGGGATGGGTGGCGTACTGGCAAAAGTAGCCTGAAACGGCATCGCGACAACTTGCTTCGCCTAGGTGCAGGAACCTGCCCAACAAAACTTGCAAGCCCAACAACGCAAGAGTAGCCCATGTCAGCTTCGTGGCTACAAGGAGCCATCGCTTTGCATGAGCCTTGTGAGCCATGTTGTCCCTTCCGGGCTTCAGCAGTACTTGCCCCAGCTCAGCTTTGCTCGTTGGCATTCCAAGCATGCGTTGCAGGCCGGCGCGAGAATGCCAGCCCAATGGCCTCCGGTGTCTCTGGCGGCTCTGCGTTGGTCTCCGGCACTGCCCAGACTCTGCTGCCACAGGCGCTTACTTGAGACGCTTGCGACACGCCATAGCCTCCAGCGCCTGAGCTCGCCTCAGCTTGAATTGCAGGGGGCCTCCATGCGCAGCGTGGGGCCAACTTCGGCCGCGTCAGGCAGGGCGTGGTTCACCTGACCAGCCTGACCAGTGGCAAAGGGAGGGCCTCGCAGGCTTTGGCGACGACAGCCCCGATGCCCTGGCACAGTGGCAGACAATGGCCAGAGCCCTATACACGCTAGACAGCTCAAAACGGCTCAAAACGGCAAATGTCCATGGCGAATCCTTCCGCAGAATTGATCGCCTGTCGCCTCCAGGTTGACAGCGGCTTCATCACTGAACATGTCCAGGTTGGGTATTGATAGCCGGCACTGAGCACATGATTTGTTTGAGGTCCGCATCCATAGATTGCTGGACCTGTCTCCTCGGCTTGCTTGGCATCCCGAATCGAATGTGGAATGCGGAATGCGTGATGCCTGATGCGCGTGTCTTCCGTGTCTGCCGTGCCTGCCGTGCCTGCCGTGCCTGCCGTGCCTGCCGTGCCTGCCGTGCCTGCCGTGTCTGCGTGAGTGCGTGTTTGCGTACGTGCGTGCGTGCGTGCGTGCGTGTGTGTGTGTGTGAACCGTCCTGGAGCACGGACGCAAAACTTTAAGCAGCAGGGGGACTGGAGCCGATTTGCCTATCCAGTCCAATGAAGCTACGGCATTTCGGTGGATACCGGATCTGATCAATCCGGCGTACCTGCCTATTTCATGACCCTCTTTCCTGATTCCTTTGCGGTTTCTGTTTGTCGCTGTTGCTTCCTGTTCGGTGTCGATGTTGTGACCCGTTGATTTGCATTTGCATTCAAGCATTTTTACCGACTGCGTTTTTCATCTCGGCTAGTGAAGCCTCTCGAGATAAGTGTGTTTACCCACGGCCTGTCCGACATGGCGCTGTGGGCTGGACTCGCCACATGCGGGAGCCCCCTGCGAGGGGAAGACCGTTCATTCGTTCAAATTCAAGCTGCAGTTCAGCGCGATTGACCATGATCAAGGCAGCGAATTTGCAGGTGAGGTACCATTCACATTCGCATTGCACTGCCTGCCTTTTGAACAAGGCAGCTCTCATGAGGTATCAGGCTCCGGCAGCTTCATGCGCGAGTGACAAGCCGGTCAGACACCGACTTTGCAGTTCACCGGTTTACGCTCTGCACTGACTCTGATCTGTTCAATTTACTTTCACGTTCAAGCGACACCTGCATTGACATGAGTTGGACCGACAAGGCAGCTTTTTTGAGGCACAGGTCATGTGTGAATCAGTTGCTAAATCGTGCCTGCCCATGCCGCAGTTGCCTTTTATTGTTTCCACCCCTCTCTTTCCAGCCCTCTCTCTCCCTTGCGAGATGGCTGGACACCAGCTCTATGACATGATGCATTCGCTCCTGCAAAGCATTGCGGCCGGCACCGTGTCCGGCTCACCAGGCAGCGGTGGACCGAACCTGCAGTTGTCACCCCAGATGACGCAGCCCATGAGCCTCGTACCTTCACCAGACCACGCCCTTTGCACCGTTTTCCATGCTGCCCTATGGTGGCCTTCCGAGCTTTGGCAACCCGATGTCCGTGATGCCCTACGGTGGCCTTCCTAACTTTGGCAACGCGACATCCGGCGCCCTGATGCCCTTCATGGCTCAGAGCAGCATGCCATCTTCATTGCCCGAGCCTCAGCCGGCACGCGCAGCCGATACAGCTGCTACGACTCCTGCCGCCGCTTCCTCGACCAACCCACATCCCACGGACAGTCATCCCCAGTCCCACTCCCGCAGATCCCGTTCCCGTCACAGACGACACCGCCACTCATACTCCCACACCAGTCATCACCGTGGACACGACAAGTCGCCACGGCGACGCAGCTCCAGCCCCTCACGGCCCCACCACCGCTCCAGGCGATCGCACCGCAACCCCATCTCCCTCCGCTCACGCTCCCCCCGGCGCAGGTCCCCCCAACGACACTCCCCCGCACCCAGGACCACGGCTCCACATCGAGCCCCGCAAGCCCACACCTCCCAAGGTTCCACTTCCCGGCGCACTTCCGGATGGGACACCGACAAGTCTCAAAGGTCCTCTCCACGCTGGTGGAACCAATCGTGGGGACACCCACCGCAGAGCCACAGTACAAGCCGCTGGGGCAAGCACCGCCGCAGCACCAGCAACACAGGCAACTGGAGCAGTCAGGACAAGCGACAGTCCTGGCCACAGCAGCAACCTGGGCAACAACCGCACCCCCCATCCCGTGCTGGCCGCAACAACGCCAGCATGCCCCCTACCCCTGCACCCGCGGCGGCTTTCCCAACCCCCTCCCCGCCCTGCACCTTCCCAACCCTCCCCCCAACACCCCTTGGATGACATTGAAGACCTGGATCCCCCTCCGTCGGAGGCAGAGCTCAACACAAACTCCGATGAGCCCATAGCGTTCGAACCCAGCTTCTACCATCTCCCCGACCACACCGCTGGCGATGTCGCTGGCGGGCACCCGGAAGCTGGATCCGGCACAGCTTCCCATCACGCTGTCATGTATATACACGGCGCCACCCCGGATCGAATGCGCCGCATGTCCTATGAGAACATGATCCGGCCTGCTGCATGGAGGCCTGAGAACCATGACTACCCGAGCTTTGGATGCTATGCTCAGGCCACTCCCACAGCCTGCAATCCCGACGCATTAGGCCAGCTTTTGCAGAACTTCACCATCGGAAAGTCTCAGCTTGGGGCCATCGCTTTTGGGGAACTGCGCTCTGTCAATCAGCACAAGATCTTGGAGTCCGGGGGAAGCCTCGAGGACCAGCACAACGTGCGGCGCCACTTTGCATGCCGCAGAGGCAAGAAGTGGTGCCTTCACTCCAAGTATGCCACGCTGAGAGGTGTCGCGCTGCAGCGCCCGGCGTAGCGGGGCGCGAACCGTACCATATTCCATATGACCAGGAAAAGAACTGATGCACGGTTTGTTCGCTTTGTTGCCTTTTCTGTGACCGGTCTTTCGCCGTGCGACCCTTCCTTTTGGTTGCCGTTTGCCAGCCTTTGGTTCAAACTTGGTCCCTTTCCCTTGTGTTTTCTCATGGCTTTCCAACCCCCTCCAGGCTTGTTACCGATGCTCCAAAGGCAAAACTATCCACAGCAACCTTCACCCGCTGCATCCAACCACCATGGCAACATGTACGGCAACAACACGGCCGGAACCTCCTCTACGACCTGGACACCACCGACTGCACCTCCAACTCCCTGCCAACCCCACGGCCACCCCTTCCCACTTCCAGCCACCCCTCGGCCCCCGCCCCCCTTTCACCGGCTTTCTCCCCCCTCCTCCCGGCGGCGCCCATTTTCCCCCTCCTCCCCCGGCCCCTTCACCCGCGGCCCCCTTTTCTCCCCTCCCCCCACCGCCTCGAAGGCCACACCCCCTCCTGCTCTTCGCCCCCTCCACTCAGTCCCAACACCAGCAGAGTTCAACCCCGACGACGATCACTACGACACCACCCGCGTCGCAGGGTACGACCTGCCCAAGGTCATAACGCATACCGCGTTCACCCGGCAATTGGGCATTGAGGGACAGGACATCGCTCGCGTTCCCCTCCTCAACTTCCTGCACGAACAGTGGAACAGCTGGTGGTTGCGCCACCTCGCCCATGGAGGTGAGGTACGCATCGTTGTCGCAAAGTCGATGCCGGAGTCAGTCTTCGCCGCTGGGCTACTCAGCCAAATCCGACAACGACATCTTGACTTGGATGCCCTCGCTCTTCACGTCGCTACACAGGAGGGCACCTCGACCACCAAACTAGCAGCCATGAAGCTACTAACCAGCAAGATCTTCGACTTCCTCATCTCCCTACGACCCACCACTACGACTGACCCAGCTTCAGCTGCCACCATCCTCCAGCTCGAGCAACAGCTTGCCGTCGCACACAACCAACTCGCACAGCATGCCTCATCCCCTTCACCTCCCCCTACACCCACATCATCCGGCAAGCGCCCGGCTGAGCCCTCTCAGGCCTCCCTTCTGGACTTCGGCACGAAGCGGCCACGGTTGACCACGCCTGACACCCCACCACCTGACGTTTCCCTCTGCCCTCCCCCTCCCCGCTCGCACCACTGACGACTCCCCTTCTCCCCCGGCCCCCCCCACCCACGGCGGCACACCCCTCTCCGCCCACCTTGAAGGACCCCCTCCCCACGTTTGCCAATGGCTCACCAGCAACTTCCCACCCGACATATCCGACACCAAAGTCCAGCGATGGATCACTTCCCAGGAGATCAGCAAAGAAAGCAAGCAGACCCTTAAATGCTGGTCCAACGACTGCTCCAAATGGGACCACACTGGACTCCGACACCAGAGCCCAACTGGAACGAGCCGCGGCGTACCAGTGCGAACCCTATCCAAACTAGGGTCATCGGCCCTGGGCCGCATCCTGGCCGCTGCAAGCCACTTCTACCAGTGACTCTCAACAGCACACCGACAACGACGCACAGCCAAGCAACACAATTTTTGGCAACACCACTGCCGCCAATTTCTCGCTGTCCTCCGTTTCACTCTCCGGTTCTTCCCAACCGA